GGCCCGCTAAAGGGCTGCTATCGAGACGATAGATAGATTGACTATCGTTGACGTGGAAATAACATTTGGGCTTAAAAATCTCGAGCCCATTAGAAAATGATTGACCTTTGTGAGTTCGGTTTTGCTAATCCCCGCTGGGCCAGATCATCTCTTTAGCAAGACACATGGGCTGATCTGTCAGTCTTTCTTAGTAGATTATTTGTCCCTCGAAATAAAAGCAAATAAGGAAAAAGGAGTTAATTTATTTTTCATAGATTTGGTTCCTTGGAAGCTTATCTTTGATAGGTCTAGCACAGATTTCAGATATGGAGCAAGAATTGTTATCATTTTGCCAACAGGTCTGAAAACCCAAATGTTGTTCAAGTTAGATTTCAACTGCACTAACAATCAAGCTAAGTTTGAGGTATTGATTATTAGTCTCAAAGCGTGGGTAAAACTCAACGTATCTATGATAGAAATAATTGGTAATTCACAACCAATTTTAAAACAATTAGAAAGTGAACACAAATGCACTAGTTTGTCTTTGGTGCCTTGCTTTGCTCTAGCAGTACAAGTTCTGGAAGAATTTGATTATGTAATCTTCAGGCATGTCACTCAAGATTTGAATACAAAAGCAAATGAGATGACACAAATCGCCTCAATCTTAAAAATCCCAAAAGGCATGTTGAGGAAAATTATTGTTGTGGAAAAACGAATTATGCCATCCATTCACAATCGTGGTATAATGATTTCCGTTTGTTTCATAAACATGATCTAGACAAATTGGTGCTATTTGATCATGAAATACCTTAAGAATCCAAGTTCTAAGGTCTCAAGAAGAATGAAAATACAAGCCTTGAATTATGTTTTACTGGAAAGTGTTCTATTGGAAAGTGTTCTTTACTGTAAAGGGCATGATGAACTACTTTTACGTTGTCTAGGTCCATATGAGTACTATTAGATTATGTCAGATGTACATAATAGAATTTGTGGTGCATACCAAGTTGGAATTAAGATGCGCTGGTTAATTCACAAACATGGGTTTTTCTGGCCATCAATCTTGAAAGATTGCATCAGTTCTGCTAAAAGTTGCAAAACCTATCAAATTATTCATGGACCACTGCAGAAAGTTCCAACATCAATCTTGAAAGATTGCATCAGTTTTACTAAAAGTTGCAAAGCCTATCATATTCATGGACCACTGCAGCAAGTTCTAGCATTAAAACTCCATCCGATTGTCAAACCATGGCCATTTCTAAGATGGGTCATAGATCTAATTGGTAAAATTTATCCTCCTTTAACTAAAAGGCATTTTTTCATTATAGTTGCTATAGATTATTTCACCAAATAGGTGGAAGCAAAGCCAATGAAGAAGATAGACCAAACCAATATTATTAAATTTCTCAATGAAGATATTATTTATAGATTTGGTTTGTCAAAAATAGTAACCTTAGATTAGGAGACAGTTTTTGTTGGTTCAACAAGTGGAGGTATTTGCAAGGGGAATGAGCTTTTGTTTACTCATTTCAACCCCTCATTACACTTAAGCCAATCGTCAAGTAGAGGCTTCTAATAGAATTGTGATAAATCTGCTTGAGAAGATGGTTGATGATAATCCAAAGCGTTGGCATAAGCTAATATCTCACGCTCTAAATAAAACTTCACAAAGGAGTCCTACCAAGGTAACTCCATTCTCTTTAACTTATGGATATAATGTTGTTCTGCGTATAGAGTTATCTGTCAAATTATTACGTATTACGTATAACGATTCAACATGATCTTACTTTTGAAAAATATAATGATGCAATAATGTTAGAACTTGAAGACGTTGAAGACATGCGATTGACGACTTTAAATAAGCTGTAAACGCAAAAACTAAAGGTGGCCTAAGCATACAACGAGCGAGTTAAACGTAGAAGTTTGACTAAAGGAAATCTAGTCTAGAAAGCGATTATGCCACCCATAAAGAAGGATTTCAAATTTGAAAAATGGTCTATCATATCGAAAAGACCATTTTGTATCAATAAAGTGCTTAAGAGGGTAAGCATATTGGTTTAAATTACTAAATGGAAAGTTACATCCTCAAAAAATAAATGAAATTGACCTTAAACCCTACCATCCTACGATATGGAAAACTAAAAGTCTGGATACCATGAATTCTTCTTGAAACAAATTTGGGGCAAGAATTGTACAATATTTTCTTTTATTGTTAAGCATTCTGTAATTCAATAAAAGTACTGAACCGAATATGTAAGTAGGCCAAATCTAACTGTGAGCAATTAGAGCAGCAAGATTTCAACCTGTTACAGAATATGAACAACATATGCAAGCAAGTTTTCACAGGTATGAACAAAGACCAATATCAACATCAAAGTCACAATTCCCATGACCATTTGGCCATAAACATTAAGTTCAAGGATCATGACATGCAAATATAGTTTAGAACAAAATAAGCATATAGGGAGGAGTTAACAAAAGTTGCTCTGCCAATTACTCCATTCTTCCCTCATTTTTTTGAGTTCTTCAGCGGCTTCATCTGCAGAGGCCGTGAAAGAAGGAAGCTGAGCCTTGATCTCAGAAATAGGTTTCAAGCCCACCTCCATATTTGCACAAAGCTTGTTTCGCTGTTCTGCCAAGCTCTTCTCTGCTTGCTCAACAAGGGGAATCTGTTTCCTTAGTTCTACGAGCTTGGCTTCGAGGTTAGATATCTCCTCCCTAAGACCTTGAAGATGTTTAATTTGTGCAGTATGAGCATCCTTAACTGCCAAAAACTCATCCTTCTTTTTAAATACGGCAGTAGTACTATATGCTACAAATTTCCTAGCATATTCTACTATCATCACCTTGTTCTCAAGAGCCAAGAATCTTTTACTAAAATCTGCATAAATGATAGTGAAATATGCCCAAAATTTACGCTGAGCAGAAGATAGCTATGGGGCTCGACTAAGTACTTGAGCTGCTTGGAAGGCGACTTGTTGATCTGGCACTCTACAAAAATCGGAAGGGTCACCGTCAATAAGCTCTTGCAAGGTGAGAATGGCAAACCTAATTTGTTCTTGGGAAGGAAGGTTGACATCTGAGTTTGTCTCCTCTGCGACAATCTTCCTTTTGTTGTCCAGAGTAGATTCTAACTTGACAGGGAGGTTTGCCAACATGTCCAGTTTTGCAAGAAGCTCATTTTCCAAATCATCATCAATCTCAGTAATATCTACAATAAAACTCTACAAAAATTTGAAGACAAAAGTTCAAAGAGATCATTTGACAAATACAATAACATAATTCAAAACCTACACAAAATTAGACAACCTCAATGTTATCAACATCATCTACTTAACCAGAGAAGTCACAAGTGTGGGGACATTGTTATTCACTAGCGTTAGATCGATAAGATTATTTAGTCTAACCACTTTAAAGTTTTTATTAACCATGCATAAAGAAAATCTAGAACCCCTAACTTTTGTGGCTGGTGAAGATTGATCGCCAAATTTTGAGTGACAGAAGCCAGAATCATCTTCACCACTTTCGTCAGATTTTTCTTCAATAGGATCTGCTATGGCAACAGTTTTGACAAAAACATCTTCTGCTTGGGTAGGTTGTTGCTAGATTTCGATGGCAGAAGTGGCTTCTGATGGGGATGCAAATTAGATGAGTTTTTTATATGCAGAGGGCTTTACTGCTGACCTCTTGCAGATTCCAGGTCACCTCCTTCCTCTATAACATCTTTTTCCTCAAGTTTTTTAGTGAGTGGTAGAGGTGCTAAAGTAGAAATATCATCCAAAACCCCAAGAAGCGAAAAAAGAGAGTATCCTTGCCACCAAGTCTTTTGTATGAGGAAGTGCAGCTCGGTTGAAAAGGAGGATCTAACAAAATCATGGTTTGGAAGATTTGGGAAATTTCAACAAGTTTTGTGGTTAAAATGTCTGATTCTCCTATCACAAAGCGGAGGGGATAATTGTGGTTAAAGAAAAATAGAGACGGAAATGGAATGAATTGGCAGTATCAAAGCTGTCGATAGAACAAGTTTGGTGCATAAAACTCAACACCACATTTGGAATTAAGGGCATTCATATTAAAGCCTACAAATAGATCTCAGGAAGCCACACATATAGACCAGAATGCTCTAAAATCTAGAGATTGGATATTAGCCTTGCACCAAAAAAGGCTGTGAAATTTACTTAAAAGCATAGTGAAATCTGCATCAAGTCTATCAATAGGAAGAGAAGCAAAAAATTTGAAGCATTCCTCAAAACTCTTCTTATTCTCTGTAGCATCTTTGGACATTAAGCTGTAGGTAAGAAGAGCTTGACTTGGTATAATAGATAGGACAGAGCAAGTGTTGAAAAATAGGAATAAAGCTACAATTGCAGAATCCAAAGCAGCCCACCACTATTGCCTAAAGGGTAAGCCGTGATATCTTGACAACTTTTGTAAAAGTAGGCAAGCAAAAAAAAACCTAAAGCTAAATGTCTACCGTGAACTAGAGCGACAACCAACGGAATAAATTCTTTAGTGGGGCCTTTACCAACAGAACATACCATGTATTTACAGATTAATGTAAGCAAAAATGAAATATGCTCTTGGGCACTGGTAGACTTACTTCGGTTACAAGCAGATCTCATAAAGGCTGGAAATGAAGGCTTCAGATCTTTGTGGTCGTATTCAATACCTAGTGGCATGGTCAAAAGTGCAGAAATTTCTTCTGCCGTGCAAGGTAGTCCGGTCAACGAGCTGATGTTGAAGAGACTCACGAACATGATGCCACATGGGAAGTGGAAGCAATTGAAAGAAACAGTCCAAAAAAGTAAAGCAGAACTCAAGATCGACCTATCAATGACGAATCTACACTTTGTTAGTTGAATAAACTCATACAAGCCCACATCTCTCCAAATTTGCCCGAAATTGGGTTTTAGGTGATCTACCTAGTCAATCCACTTAGATTTTCTCCAAGTTGGCCAAGGTCCGACTTGGCCAACCCACTTGCTCCAATTGGGCTTCACTTGGAAAGGAAAAGGATGGTCTTTTAGTTGTGGGTATACAAGTTTAAAAGGAATAGGTGGAGGAGAAACGAAATATGGACCCAAAATATGGGATTTCATGTAAGGGACAAACACTTGATCTGAATACCAAGTCTTATGGCATTAGAGGATTAGGTTGATTTCACTTTGGAGATTTTTAGCTTGGAAGAGGCCGACCAGATCTGCAAGGGGGAAGTTTCTTAGGTTGAATAGCTTTCATTTTAGCCGTTGTAGAAGTAGATTCAATGGAAGGAAGCTGATCCTTCTTGTCACCGTCCATGGGAGTAGATCTGGGTGGGAGGATAAAGATGAAGAAATTGATGACATCCCGAGGAAGAAGAAAGAGATTAAATGGTGAGTTTGACTTTTCATTTTCAAAAGAGTTTAAAAGTTGAAAAGGGATTTTAAGAGAAAGGTAATGGAGATAATCTTACAAATTGGT